GTAAAACAAATTGACAGATTGAACTCTTTCTATCAAGCCGTCAAAGCCCTCATGTTTTTGAAAACATATTTAATTTTACTAATCTTAACCTGGCAATTTATTCACTTATAATTGTCAAAAATATTGACTTATAAAATTTATGTTAGCAATTTTTTTTTGGTAAGTTTTTCAGCTGGACCAAATTTTTAAAACTTTTTAAAAGTGTTGTTATTATATATTTGATATTTGTATGTTACTATGTTTGGAGTCGTCACAATTGATTTAATTCTGAAAATTATATCTGATGTCACTTATGTTAGTCATTTGTATAACAAATATAATTTTCTTGCATTGTTTCTAGTGGCCAGAGAAAGTTACAAGTCAGAGAAATATAATGTGGACACGCAGATGGATTTCTAGCCTGGTTTGAGCGAGACTGGGCTTCTTAGCTCATCAGTGAAATGCAAATAATAAAAAAATACAACAAGCAAACGGAAAGGACATTCTTGGCGGGGAGGGGAGAGAGAGAGGAGGGAGGGAGGTGTCGGTGATGGGCCATAATAATCATATACAGTGTATATTGACAAAATAAAAATTTAACGAAAAAAATAATAATAATAATATCGGTGATGGGCCATAATAATCATATACAGTGTATATTGACAAAATAAAAATTTAACGAAAAAAATAATAATAATAATACTCACCTTTCCTTTCTCAGTATTGTTTTGAAAATCAAATTAAAGTAAAATAACATACAATTACATATACAATGTGAAAAGAGCCCCTTTTTAGTAAAATACTAAACAAATACAAGTCAGTGGAAGCGGTGGTCGTCTGTAGAAGCCGCCTGTGTAGTTTCCGGCCTTTAGGTAATTCAGGGGCACTGGCAGGTACAGGGAAAAAACCCGAGTGAATTCCAGTCTAAGATATTTATTTTAGAAAGAGCGAAGTGTTTTATTTAAAAATGTCAGCACAGTGGCACCGGGGCTGCTTTATGCTGCCTTGACCGTAACTCGACTTGGTACTTGTCAGTCTTAGGGGAGACGCACGTGTTCGTTCCAGCTGGCTTCTGAAAGGCAGGGCAAGCCCTGGGCAGAAATGAGAACCAGGCAAGAAATTCTGCCCAAGGCCCTGCTTCCCTTTCTCTCCAGTGCCCTCAGCTCCCTCTCCGCTTTCATTGTTCCGTGTTCTACTCATAGTTTTGCTCTAGTTAACTTTGACTTCATGTATTCTACCATCCCATATGCTTCTCAAAACCTATTATGTCTAATGTCATGATATAAAAGTAACCCTATAGAGCAGAATACTCAATTCTGTATGAGGCACTTGTCATAGCTTCTTAATGTGGGCTAATGTTCCCACCTAGACCCTATATTTTTGCTCTTTTTCCTTTTTCCTCTCTCAGTGTAGATGTTGTGGGAAGAAATACAAAATTAGGAATATAACAGAATCATTCTAGTTTCCCTAAATAATTTCTTGTTAAACTGTTATGCATTGATTTATATAACCTTTTATATTTATGTGCTGTATTTATATATTAAACATTTATATATACACATGTAAATTGTATATGTATATATGCATGCATGTGTGTGTACATATGTGTGAGAACAAGGCAGCACTTAGTTTAGCTGCTTCCAGTTTTTCTTGAAAATAAAAAGTCCTTTCAACTTTTGCTTTTTTGCAGCCTAATTGAGAAATATTCTTTTGTGGTCATCCACTGCTCCTAAATCTCTTTGATCCCTTGGTTAGCCTTTTTCTGTCCATCACTAATGTACAGAACACCTGGAACCTAAAAAAATGAGGGAAAAGCATCTGTAGTTTCATCAACCAGAAACAACCACATCAACCTTTTTAGTATGCATTTCAGCTTGATTTCCTTCCTGCCCTTTTCTTGAGGTCTGAAGCCCACTTTCCGGGGCATCTTCAGACTCCTCCTCGTACATCCCCTCTGTGGGCTGTGCTTTATCATTTGCATACAGCAAATTTGCACACAGCAGAACTGCAGTCCTGTGGATCCATAGAGGAAATTTTCCCTAAACTGTTCTTTCAGGGAAAGTTCTTCACTGTGAAGCGTTTGTGGTTCTCCTTAGTCCAGTCAAGAAATGTCAATGTAGTACTCATACATTCCTTAAGAACGAGTACATATATGTACATTGGGGTGGTGAGAGGAATGGTATTCCAGCCAGAGGGAACAACATGTGTGTCAAAGCAGGGACGCCCACTTGAGTGTAACTGGTAGAGAAGATTTGTTGGGGGCAGTGGCCTTAGATGTGTCTTGGCAGGCAGGCAAGAAGCTGGATCCTAAGGTGCCTTTGTTTACTGTGACCTCAAACCAGGAACCTTAAACCCTAAGGCATTCACGTTATTTCCAAGGTGTCTGTGAGCAAGGAAAATTTTAAAGAGATCAATTTCTAATTATTTTTTTATAAAATAAATGCTATTGTGTATATTTAAAGTATACAGCATGATGTTATGGGATACATGTAGATAGTAAAACCATGAAGCAGATTAACATATCCATCATCTCACATAGTTACCCATTTTTTGTGTTTTTGTGGCAAGAACAGCTAAAATCAACTACTCATTTAACATGAACCCCATAAACAGTACAATTTTATTAATAACAGTACAACTTGATTCCTAGACTTATTATACAGACTTTGGAATTAAAGCAACGTGGTACTGGTACAAGAAAGGACAAGTAGACCAGTGGTAGGGAATAGAGAGTCCAAGAAACATTTGCTTGATTTTTTGACAAAGGTGACATTTCAGCACAGTGAGAAAACAGATATTTTTTATCCATATGGGAAAAATGAATCTTGACCACTACTATATAGCACATAAAAAATCAATGCAAGATGATTAAGGAACTAAATGTGAAAGGTGAAACATAAAGCTTTTATAAAAACACAGTTTTATATATTTTACATTCCACCTGTATCATCATGGATTAGGTAAAGACTTTATAAAGACACAAAAGCCCTAATAACAAAGGAAAACAATTGATATATCAGGCTACATTAAATTTTAGTTCTTCAGTTTCTCAAAACACATAATTAAGAAACTAATAAAGGCAAACCAAGAAAAGGTAAAGATATTTGAAGGACATATATCAAACAAATATTGTTTAAAGAATTCTGGTAAGAAAAATGCAGAAAGTCTAATAGATAACCCTACAACTCCCATTCTAGAATTTGTAAATTTATAAAATAAAAGACAAAGGACACCAGGTGTTGATAAGAATGTTAAGGAACTGGAACTCTAATACGTTGCTGGTGAATGTGTAAATTGACATATTCATTTTGGAAAAATGTTTGGTAGCATCTACTAACACTGAAAGTACCTTGGGAACTAACATTCCCACTCCTGGAAATACACCTATGGATATGCATAAGTATATTCATCAAATGACATGCTTAGAGCTGCACTCTCTGTAAAATCCAATAACGGAAGACAACCCCAACACCATCAATAACAAATGAATAGAGTGTTGTTTATTTATATAATGAGTAATATATAGAAATAAAAATGAATACTACAGCTACGTGCCTCCACACAGATTTATTTCACAAGCACAATGAAAGGAGTGGATACCGTGGCACTTCTATGAAGTTCAAAGGCCAGTCATATTAATCTACAGTGTTAGAAGTCAAGTTTATATCATCAAAAATTAGTTTACATTCTTTCTCCCTTGGAAGAATTTTGTATTCAGGGGAGGTGCAGTGAGACAGAGTGACAGACCGGCATGGGTGTGAGGTAGTTTCCGGCGCTACTCATGTTCTTGATGTGGTGGCTAGCAGAATTTTATAAAGTAGCAGAGTTTTTTCATGTTTTAAACTTCATTGATACTATTGTAATCATACCAAAAAGGCCTATTGTTTTTCAATTTATCTGCATATAGTACTTGTAAATTACTGAAAGAAGACTAAATGGGATTTTTGTAACATTTTGGTTATGCCTGAGTCAATTATAATGAACTTGTATAGAATTTAAATATAAAACGTATTTATTTCTATGCTTAAAAAAACCCCCTTTTTTCCCCTAGCTAATTCTTCTAGGTGCAATAAATTAGTCAATCTGGTCAATTTTGTTAATAATTGATTGTGATTTATTTTAGCTAATGAAGCTTCATATTTAGAGAATTGGTTCTGGCTCCTAGTTTTGTAAAAGTCACTTAAATTTTTTTCAAATCTCACACATACCCAAAACTTTGCATATATTTTCAGCGCATTTGTAAATTTCCTGAAGTCCATTCTGGCAATGTAGTACTTCTGCTAGTACCACCGCTAGTGGTAGCACTAGTACTTCTACTACTAGTGCTACTTCTACTGCTAGTATTAGTAGCACTGCTGCTGTTGCCACGGCTACTACTGCTATTTCTGCTGCTATCACAATTGTTACACTGCTCTTTATGATGTAACTACTATATTCTAGGCCTTTTCCCAAGGACACACGTAGATTACCTCTTTTAAGACTTACTAAACGTTTTCCTGAACAGTATTACTGCAGTGTGCCTATGCATTTCTGTGTTCTTATTAATATGCAGATATATTATACATGTGTGTTTCCTAGGAAGGAAGTAATGAGAGCATCTACTTTTCTGAAAATTAGTGTTCAAGTTAGGTTTCAATTACATATTTACTATTCCAAGTTTCTCAGAGGATATTGAGACAAATTCTATGTAAGATTTTTATATGCATGTGCTCATTACCCTGATGAAGATTTTCATCTACTCCAAATGAGCCATATACCTTTGTATAAGTGATTTGTCCCTTTTACATCTCCGTCTGACTGCAAGATTTTCAGCACATTTGTAATGAAGCAATTGGATGCATTTTACAGATGGGGTTGTACCCATGTCTATTTGGGTAGTAGAGAAGCCATAAAATGATAAGTAATAGCATCTGTTTTGCACAGCACTATCAGTTTCATACAGCAAGCCATTACCGTTAGAAGCAAGCATGGTCTGATCCCTCAGAAAAAAAATGATGATGTTGAGTATGTTTCTCTTTTAGCGGTACCTTGTCCTAGCATTGAAGCTCAGCTCTCAGAACATATTATCTGGAGACTGGTTTCGGGATCACTGAATGAGTATGGAGCTCAAGTACTGCTGAGCTGCAGCCCCGGTTACTATTTAGAGGGCCAAAGGCTTGCACAGTGCCAAGCAAATGGAACATGGACCATCGGAGAAGAGAGACCAGGTTGTAAAGGTGAGTGACAAGTGAAATTGTCACGCATTCTAAATTACTACATTGTGCAGGCATTCTAAATTACTAACATCAGTGTCATCCACCTTTAATGGTCCTATAATCTGTCAGAGTCCTACAAATTAAAAATATAACCAAATAGTATGGTTTTTCATTATAATGATGAATATGTACAACGATACTTCAAAAAGTTTATGGAAAGATTTGTATTGTCTTTTAATTCTATTTTGCCACAAACTTTTTGAAGTACCTTTGTATTTTTATGTGACATACTTAAAATGTGTAACTGCTGGATTACATGGTTGTTTTTTTTTTTTCCTTTTCAATGATTGTATTTTATAAACTTTAAATAAGAATACTCAAATGTTTTAAATTAGCTCAAAAACAAATACAGGCCTATGTTGAAAAAGATAACTCTTATTCCTTACACTGCCTATTCAAAAATTCTAATTAGGATCTAGGGAAATTGTGTTGAAGATATTGTGTTCTCAAATAATGACTGTCTTGAACAGGGACATTATTATTCTCTTAGGTACAAGATAAGCAGTTCAGGCTTTGAGTGAGTTTCATAATAAATATGAATAAATAGAAAATAAAACAATACTAGTATTGTTCAGAGCACTGTTTGATTCAGACATATTTAATATACAATCTTTAGTTGATTGTTCACAGGAAATTATCATGCATGGAAACAAGTAGTTAGACCAGTGTGAAATTTATAAAATACGCAGCTCAGTAAGAATAAACCAGAATAAAAAATGAAAAAGATAAAAGAATAAATTCTTAGCTGTTTTTGATAATAATGTTAATTCAACTGCAATAGAACAAATTTCACTTAAACACATGCTACAAGCTCTTTACCATGTACACAAAGATAAATTAGGAACAGTAGTTGACTCCAAGGAGCTCAAAGTCGTCATAGTCACGGTGAACATTGACCCTGATTCCTTTAGGGAGCTCTGACTGAAGCTTGTTTTCCAGGGTAATCGTTAATGGTTCCTTGTCCCTCTGACCAGTATCCTGGTTTGTATTATCAATGACCTGGTCGCTGAGTTTGTAGTGAATTTGCTCTCTTCCACTTTCGTCACTTAGTAAATGCCCTCCCTTCCCACATTCATTCCAATCATCCACACACATCTATCCACACTTACGAATCGACTTATAATTTGGAGACTCTGGCTTTAGTACCAGCAAGGAGAGTTAAGGAAAAAGAATTAGTAGCGTTTACTTTTTGCCTATTTCAACTCTTCCAGACAAAATCCTCTTTGTCAGTTTCGAACCAGAACTAGGATCTTAAAAACAGGTACCCGTTACCTTCTGGGGGTGGGGTGTTCACACAGGGTTTCTACAATGCAGCCAGCCCAGTATGGCTTTTTCTTGCCTCCCTGATTTCCCAGAGTTGCCCAGCTACTGGTGTTCAGGGCAGAGTAATGCTAGGTGGGTATTTTCTGTGCTACACATTTTATGCTAATGGCTTCCATTGCCATTCCAGAATTTACACTTACAATGGAGAGCCTTCTATTTAAAGGAGTGTTTACAAAAAGGAGGCTGTCCAGATCCTTGAACCAAGCTCATTATCAACAGGTGCCACCCTAGTTTGGGGGAAGAAGCACAGTCAGGGCTCTGCTTTCCTTGAATAGTATTTCTGCCTCTATCCTTCTGTAATTCTAGAAAGTCTGTTTTGGGACAAATTTAATACATTGTATTCTGCTTGTTCTGATAATGAGTTTGTTCCAGAGACAACACCCACACATCCATTTATCTGCATGTATCTAGTCATCTTGGGACATACACTTATTACGTAAATTGCAGCTGTTCTCTGACTCACATTGCTGGGCACGTGCTGTTCTACCCCATTCTGTTATTTGTCTCTTTCAAGTGACATCATAGATATGTGGCATTTTCCAGAATCAGTAGATTCTAAATGAAATCACTGTTTACTTTTTGTTTTGGCATGTTTATTAATGTTTGTAGTGCAAATTGTCACAATTTGGCCAGAGTAGCCTCTCATTCAGGGCTGCTTCATTTTGTCCCTCTGACGTCTTTGAAATGGTCCTTGTTTTATACTCATTCTGAGTTTTTCTTACTCAAACATAGAACCAGCTGTTCTTCAGGGAGCCCTAGGAAAGGAGCCCTCTCCTTTTAGTGGAAAATGACAAAATCCATGCCAGGGGAAGGGACTGCATTGTGTCGTGCATATCGTCAGTGGCACAGGAAAAGTTGACAAGGGGCTTATCATTCCTCTTGAGACCCAGCTGAAGTTTTCTGTTTATTTTCTTTTCCCTGAAAGGCTTAATATTGACGTTGTAATTTATTTCTATCTCTGCTGATTTTTTTTTTAATTTTACACTAACAAAAGAGCTTGTCAAAGATTTTTTTCCCTCTTTTTGGAAACATAAATGTCACGTTAAATGTCGTAATCTTTAATGTGTTCAAATTATGGACCTGTATAAAATCTTAGAAGCCTTTGTTACCACCCCCTGCCCTTTTTCACTCTGTGGACTAAATGTTTTGGAAATGACTTCAGAATGCTGGAGTCCAGAAACCACCTTCATGTATGTTGTTCGATAAACCCTCAATAGAAATTATATATCCCAGTCTCTTTCAAAACAACCATTCTCAGGATTTTTATTTTATTTTATTTTATCTCACGAACTTCATATTCTTAAAAATAATTGAAGATCTGTATTAGTTTTCAATTGCTTCATTACCAGTGACTACAAACTTAGCATCCTAGTGCTACACAGATTTGCTATATCACTGTTTCTGGGCTTGGATATTTGGCACATTTTGGCTGGGTCCTCTGATGAGGGTCTCACAGGACTGATTTCATGGTGTTACCTGGTCTGCTTTGTCCTCATCTGGAAACCCAGCTAGATCACAGTCAGCTTCCCACTCCCTGCTCAGGGACAGAATTCATGTCCTTGTAGCTGATGACTAAAGTCTTCACCTGGTTGCTGAGGAAGCACCCTCAGCTCCTTGTTGTGTGTCCACCACCCCTGCCAGGCCCTCTCTTTATCCAGAGCTTTCTAACTTCAGGAAAGACTCAGTCCCTTTTAAGGGCTCACTTCACCAGGTCAGAACCACCCAGATCTTCTCTTTTTTGATGAACTCAAAATCAGCTGATTTATAACCTACTCACAGTTCTGCCCACACTCAAGAGAAAGGGGTTTTGCAAAATATCTACACCAGGGAGTAGGAAACTTAGAAGCAATCATAGAATTCTGTCTACCACCATCCCCAAAGTCCTTTTTATATTTATTTTATGATTATAAGTTAAAACTAATAGTTACTTAAAAATATTTGTTAATTTACTTAAATTAAAACAGAAAAAATTAAATGTGTATTAATTTATTTACTATGTCAATTACACGCTAACATAAATAACATTTTTATAAACAACAAGGATTTATTAAAATTAGCAAGAAGAGTGTCTTTGTATTAAGATTTTACAAATCTCCTTCCTTAAAGTCTGGCTTAATAGAGGATGACTGAATTTGCATATCAGTTTCTGCACTTATGTTGTTTTGGTGGAGATATATTTTTTAAAAAGTGGGCAGTTGATACTATGGTAGTTGGAAAGAGAGATGCTTGTAGATCCCTAAAAGGATATCAGGGACTTCCAGGAGTTCTTGGATCATATTTTGAGAAGAACTGTTTCAGAAGAACAGCACAGAATACAAGTTTTAGGGCACCTGCTAACTAAGAGACACACAATTAATAGACAAAGCAATGAAAGCACCTACACAAACAAATGCAGATGGTCCCCGACTTACAGTGGTGTGACTTACAAGTTTTTGCCTTTATGATGTTTGTATCAGGTTATGAATGCATTTTCTTTTTCTTTTTTTTTTTTTTTGTCTTTTTTCGTGTCTGGCAACGGATCGCAACCCTCAGTCTCGCGCCCGCACCTTGCTCAGCCAGTGAGCGGGAACCGGTCTGTATGTGGGATCCGAACCCTCGGCGGGAGCGCCACTGCACTCCCAAGCGGCGCACTGTAGCAGTGCGCCACTGGGCTGGCCCATGAATGCATTTTCAACTTACATTATTTTTGACTTATGACAGCTGTGTCAGGACAGAACCCCATTGTAAGTTAAGGAACATTGGTCAAATCGTTTAAATTTTTATCTAAAATTTTCCTTTAACATTTATTTTCATGGTATTAGTATCATTATTTTCATATTTTTCACAACCAGGTCTAGTTCAATATTTAATATATTATTCTTTAGAACAAATGTTTAGTAGCTCAGTATGATAATTCTCTACTTTCTCAAAAGTCAGTTAATAACGTCAGAAAAAATATGGCCAATATAATGTTGAGAATTACTAAAGACTTAAAACTTTATTTCCCCAAAATAAAATTAAAAATTATTATTAGAACCTTAAGATGTATACATTATTTTCTGGGATCTACAAGGAAAAAAAATGAATAAATGTATGAGTTCATTTTTGCTATAACATGTTTTCATTACATTTTAAACTTACATTTATCTCCCATGTTTCTTACTTTGCCAACACATACACAGAAAACACAATGTGAATTCTGTTGATAGTATAATTTAATATTAAATAAGTGTGTGATAAACCCCAGGAAGTTGAAATGCCATTTAACTTCTGAATTAAAAATAATTAAAATGACACATTTCTGTAAGGCCAATTTCCCACATGGCAGAAGCGTCTTCACAGAAGCACAAAGTCACTTTCTACGCTGTATTGGTTCTGGGCCAGTAGAATCATCAGTAAATCATCATCTATGTCATTGGTGTAGCTCAAGAGATCTAATTTTTAAACTTCTTTAATTGCTTAAGGTTTATCCTAGGTCCTACTCATGAGATATCCAGCAAATTGTTTCCAGTTATCTATCTGCTTGGGGACTGGAAATGTTAGACTCTCCCATCTGCATGTCCAGTTAGCCCCAGATGAAGAGTCACCTTCTAAGCACATTCACAACAACTATAAAATCAGCTGAGAAGTTCACCACTTTTTGAAGGGTTTGTGTTATTCTAACTCTGGGCTACTCTAACATGTCCTCAGAGCCCCAGGTCTCTGTGGGTGAGTAGCACAGGAGACCTGAGTCTTACCTTTAAGTTGTTAACTCTGAAATCTTATCCTTCAAGAGAAAATAACAGAGGGTTAAATTCAATAACCAGGGGTGTTCACACTCCTCTCTAGAACAAGGTCTTCATAAAAATGGGAGAATATTATTTTTTCTTTTTTTATTTCTTTATTGTTATACTTATTGTTTATTTTTTTAAAGTAAGGAAAATGTTTATTGCAGAAATCCATGAATCCAAAAAAAATTCTTTGCATTTAAAATTTTATACACAAACAGACACAAAGAGCTACATTAGAATTTGCTATATTATATGTATTCAGAGAACATTGCCTAAATTCTGGACTGTATCTCTTTTCTAACCACTAATTTAAGACTTGTCTTAAATCAGACCTTGGTCAACCTCGCAGTGAAGTGGTCTTTGACCTCCTGTTTGTAACGAGAGCTGTGCCTGGATTGATCATTAAACACACGGGAGCGTGTCTCCATCAGCAAATGTGTTTTACCTATACCCTAGGAAGCCATAGAATGGGCATTATTGTTCCATTCCATTGTTGGAGTAGACATTGTACATCACTCAGGACAACCTAAAGTAGAATTTTCTTGATAATATCCTGGTAAGTAAATGCCCAGCTAACATCAAATAACTCTAGTGACAGCTCATTGCCCCAGAGACAGCGATTTCATGTTTGAACATTTTCACTTTGCGTGAGGTCTTCTTTTTGACTTATATTCAGTGATTGATCTTAGCTCTGTTCCTCTAGGCCTCATAAAACAATGCCAGACTCTGGTCTACACAGAATGGCTTCGAGTATTTGAAACCAACCATCACGAGTGCTCTCAGCCTTTCCTTCACCGTGGAGAGCCCAGCCCTCCTGTGCCAGCTCTTCACTGTGCGTGGTGGTCTGCAGGTTCATTAGGCTTTTATCTGACTCAAGCCTATTTGAAAGTGCCTGCTGTTGGGCTTGTACTTATTTATCACACTCACAAGTCTTATCCATATTTTTGACAGGACTGCTGACCTTACAGGGATGAGAAGAGATATGTCACAATACAGTTTCTTTTCAAGCAGAGTAGATTTCAATGTAAATATAATTGCAGATTTGAAGGAAAGAGGACAAACAGGCTTCCCTGTGGGGAGGGAGGCAAATGGCTTTTAATCCACAGGAGAGTGAGAAAATGCACTATGGATTGCAACTTGGGGACATTTCGATGCTGTCAACTGAGCATCTTGTGTGTGCAAAGACTTGCTCTAAGATTTCGGAGGAAGCACTTTTGGTTGTGAACATAAATGCATTCTTAACAAATGGGAAAAAAACAAACTTAATGAATTCATTTTTGGAAACATGAGGGGAGAAGATAACATGGAAGAAGGCTTTTCTTGTGATGTTTGACAAAAGTTATTTTTCGTAGTGAGGGGGTCCTCCTTTTCAATTAGGCTAGCGTTTCCAGTTGTTGCGTCTGTCCTCATTAATGTATCGGGCTTACCACCAAAGGAGAATCTAGCTCTGAAATCCCACTATCCAGCTCCTGAAAAGCTCACATTTTGCTCCATTAGTTCTTCTTTACAATCAAATAAACCCTATTAGAGGACAAACGTAAAATAGTTTTGTTGCCAGGATATTTTTAACAGAAACTGAAAGAAGAAAAGCAGATGCAGAGGAAGAGGCAGACTTCTTGCTAGTCTCTCACGAAAGGTGCACTGAGAGCTCTAGGAGGAAATGGACTCAGACCGCATCGTTTGGCACATTTCTGACAAGTGGGAAGCTTCAGGACACGATCCAATTATCTGAAATGGCTACAAATGCATCTTTAAATATCGTAGTTCATGGTGAAGGTCACACAATGTTTGGGAAAAGGCTTAATGAAAAGTTCATAACAAATTGTAGAAATCTAAATTTTACTTGAATTCATTGACATTTGGTACAGCAAACATGTTCGCAGTATTACTGAAAGCATAGGATACGACACTGTAATGATTTAGCAGTCCCAGAAACAAATACATCACAGAGGCTTTCTCAGCAACAATAATGCTCTGATCGTAAAGTACTCTGGAGTTGAACTTCCAAATTTCTGGGCATTCCCCTGTAGAACAGACCTAACCTGGCTGTGTCTGTCTGCCCATTTGAAATGGAGCCCAGGTTGTCGTATTTTGGAGTAAAATCAGCTTAATTAAAAAGGGCTGGTTTCAATGGTACATGCATCAAATTTTTCTTCACTTGAATTGTTTGTAAAACTGTTCATATTTTCTTTCAATTCACTAAATAGGTCCTGATTTATTACTTCACTGTTAACCAACCCTGACTGAGCCTGATTATGTGCAAGCTGTAGCTTTAAGCAATTACATTAGCCCTTTCCTTGAATCCAACGTACAACCTTATGTATTAGGCACTATTATCAACCCAACAGGGCCCAGAGACCTTTAGGAAATTGGCCAGACTCATGTAGCTAGTTCTTGGCAGACCCAGCATTGAACCAGAGTAGCTTGCAGCCAGAGTCTGTTCTTCTTCACTATGTTTTACTGCCTCTTAATCATTTGCTAGTAATAAGAACTCAGGAATTTCTGCCACTTCCTAGCTTTGCCCTGGGCACTTTCCACATCATAGCTCATTTAGCGCTCTTAACGCTTCTCTTTGAACAGCTTTCTAACACTTTCATTCTTACCTGCTTAAGATAAGAATGAAATTGATCAATTGGCTTTGATGACTTTGGATTTCCTTCCTCCCCTGAGATTCTGTGATGTGTTTATGAGTTTGAAGTGCAGAGACTTAGGTGATGTAATAAGTATCTATAAAGAGCGTGACCATTAATTTATCTCCCAAACTTCTTAGATAGTTGTTCTATTTAGGCCTCAGCAGATACCCTGTTCCATGTTCTTAATGAAAATTAGGACTAAAGAGTGTGTTTTTAGGCACAAGAGTAACCTGCAACCCGAAATAATGTTCACTTTATTATTGTTTTTTTCCTTCTAGTTATCTCATGTGGAAGTCTGTCCTTTCCCCCAAATGGTAACAAGATTGGAACGTTGACAGTGTATGGGGCCACAGCAATATTCACGTGTAACACAGGCTACACTCTCGTGGGCTCTCACGTCAGAGAGTGCTTAGCAAACGGACTCTGGAGTGGCACAGAAACACGATGTCTCGGTAAATTAATCTATGTTCTGGAACTAATTTAATTCAAATAAACCTTAAAAATATTTTAGAGCTGAGCGATGCATATGAGTTCTTGCTATAAATGCTCTGACACAGTGCTGCTAAATCCTACTTAGCATTATAATGCTGCATTTCACAATCTAACTTTTTGAGTATCTAAGGAAATTTTCTTTTCAATCTGAGCAATAAATGAAGGTCATATATTGCTTTAAGTGATATAAAGACTATTTTACAGAGTGCTGAGAATATAACTACTCTCAAATGCCATGATGGTTTTAGGACACACAAAAATGAATTTAAAAATATGATGCATTTATCTTTTTAAAAATTTAAAACATATCAACAAATTGAAGTGATATTAATCCAGATCAATGTAAGCACAATGAATTATTTAAAATGGAATGTGTGTGCAATAATTTGGTCTTTTTCCCCAAAGATTAAAATATTCTGGATAATAATTTTTGAAAATAGTCAAAAATGTTTCCATTGAAAAATGTTGTGAATAATGTATGAAAATTGTTGAATAAGCAGTTTATAGTGCAATGATTTCTAAAGGAGATCCTGTAGGACTCTGAGTCATTTGTGAAATAACTCAGCTGCCTTCAGTCCTTTTTAGCCTTCTCTGTGATCCTCAGTAATTTTATAATCAGTCAAAGCCGTAGAAGCTGGAAGGATTAAGCTTCTGTATCTTCTGGGCCAGGATCATTTCAGGAACTAAGCCAGGGCTAGTACACTTTGAATAGTAAAATCTGTTTTTTTCATGTGAGAGAACTTGAAGAAAGAGGATAAAATTAAAGTAGTTACCCCTGAGAAAACCAACCATGAAGAGATGGTTCTTACACTTATTCACAGAATGGTGTCCACTTAATGTTAAATTACTACAGTACTCACACGAATGCTGCTTGAATGCTTTCTCTGTCTCTATATATGTAAGAGTATGTGTGTGTGTGTGTGTGTATACACATATGTGTGTGTGTGTCACATAACCATGTTTCAGTCAATGACAAACCACACATGTGATGGTGATCTTATAAGATTATAGTGGTTATACCAAATAGCCCAGGTATGTAGTAGGCTATACCATCTAGGTTTGTGTAAACACTCTGTGATGTTCTCACAATAATAAAATCACCATTTCTCAGGATGTATCCCCATCATAAAGCAACACATGACTGTTTCTTTAATATTACATAGTATTTATATGTTTAATAAAATATGTATTATTGAACATATAAATTATTAAACATATATATATATGTGTATAATTGAACATAATATCTTGTAGTTGTTTTTAGTCTTTATAGTTTTTTTTAGGTTTTAAATTTCTTTGGATACATGTGGCTTTTATGTAGAGTCACAGATGCTTCTAAGATATTTTTGTATTCCTAAATGTCCTTATAAAATTGGGTGGCCATTGAGTAGCACTCTCCTTTAGGCAGCGGTGGTGTGGACTAGGTCTTCTCTGTCAACTTCAGTGGAGCTTTGTGCTAAAGAAGGAATCTAGATGATACAAGACTCTGATAGTAATCACGAGGATGGAAATCAAAACCATCTTACATTTTATTACTGCTCTACTGCTTACAAATACATCCCTAACCACATTTTACTGGTTCTTACTAATAAGAGATTCAAGTAAAGCTATTGTTGGAGACTTGGAGAGTTTAAGTGGTATATTCTTTTTGTATAACTGTTAAATCATAGGGTCAGCTTGAGTCTTATTGATCCCAAATAAACCCTTACCTATTTTGTGTTTTCCTTCTGTCTGAAGGTTAGGACTTTGAAGTAGAAAGGAGGAAATGCATATTTAATAGTTGGCTCTCTGAAGGTGCCAGAAAATATGGTCTCAACAGTATGCAATGTGTCTTAGAAGCTATTGGAAGATGATTTGCTCAGAAATAAGTCCATTTGCTTGGAAGAAATTTAAACTGAAAAATGCCCAGATTATAATGCATAAAATATTAATGTTGCAGAAATTAGATACAGCATATAAGGAATAATAAAATTAGAGAAGGCAGAGAATATTTAAAAGAAAAAAACAATTAGAAAAGATTAGAAATGACATGTAGCCACATATGCATATACACCAATGGATAAATAATGGGTAATAAATTTAGTATAAAGACTGTAAATACAGTTTCACAGCTACCATGAGACTTGAGGGGTTAAGATTCATATTATATGGAATATGGCTATGAAAGCATATCCCTTCACCAGAGAAATAGATTGCTGGTGGGTAGCTAGCATACCGTAACCCAGTGAGATATATGTCCATGGGAAACCATGAAGTTGTATGTGAGACACGGAGGGGATATGGGTAAAAGGGTAAACTGGGAGGAGAACAGAGATGGGTAGTGTCATTGTTAGAGAAGATTATGAGATGCTCAGACAGGTGAAGGGAATAGAGGCTCCAATCCTACATCAGACACAGCTATTTAATACAGGAGGTATTGTACACCTCCGTAGTCCAAATATTAACCAGATACCTTATTTGGAGACAAAAATCATGGATTGTGTTATTTATTGATGACTTAAAATGTACAAGGCATTTTTGAGTTTTATCTTATTGAATCCTCATTCCGTAGTCCAAATATTAACCAGATGCCTTATTTGGAGACAAAAATCATGGATTGTGTTATTTATTGATGACTTAAAATGTACAAGGCATTTTTGAGTTTTATCTTATTGAATCCTCATTAGAACATACTGTGAGAGCTTATTACTTCTATTTATAGATAAGAAAAAGTCTCAGAGAGTAATGAATTTTCCCAACATCATAAAGCTAATAAATATCAAAAAGCAACATTTAAACTTAGTTTGATTACATGAGAGTACTTCGAAAAGTTCATGGAGAAATAGAATTGAAAGATAATATGAACCTTTCCATGAACTTTTCGAAATACCCCTGTAGAACACAGACTTCTTAACATTACGAGTGTATCTGAGTAAATATTATGCCCCTTTGTCAACAATTTTATCTCTCAAAGGAAGGTATAAAAGAGTGTTGTACCATCATGCTAATTCTGACCATGAAGGAGGAATTTATTGATTAACTAGAAGTGACATGAGCACTAATGCATTATATTACTCCCCATCCCAGGACACATGTCAAAGAGAAGGGCTTGGTGCCTTAGTTCTACATGGCTAATTATGTCCTTCATCCTGTACTGCTCTGGAGATGCTTATACTGTATGCTCTTTCTTATCAGTCTTGTTATTTTCCTTACATTTCTTAACTTGTCCTTTGAATTGCCATTTGTCTATTTCCATTGTTATGACTTGCTTGAAAATCACTCTGGGTTTCTACCAAGCTAAATAACCTTGGGTAACGTTCAGGCTTATCTGGACTTAAAAGATGATAAACATGACATTTATAGAGGGAAAATTACTTACAATAAATATGGAGGCAGTTGATAGAGATATATGTTTTTTAATAAAGTAAACAATTGACATAATTCCTTGGCTTCAACTGTAAGAAAACCCCTCAACAAAACAAAACAACACCCAAACTATGACTCTGAAAAATAAATCACCCCAATAAGGAGGAAATGAGTTACCCAAACAGAAATAGTTACACCAGATATTCTACAAGAAATTCAATTTTCAAGCAAAGCAACTGTCCTAAGACATATTCAAGAGACTAAACTAGTTTTAAGGACAGTATTATGAAGGACAAACCCACCATGATCTGGGAACCATGAGAAGTGTTAAGAACCATTAAAATGCTATATAAATTATGTTTGAAATAAGAAGCAAATTCACTCATTGGGGTTGGAATTAAAATAATGGACGACAGAAACAAAGCAGAAGGTCTCAGCTCCTTCTTCAGTTCTGTCTTTTCTGTCAAGAAGAATTACTATGGCAACACAAAGGTTAGGACACGTTTTTATATCAGAAACTGGAACCCCACAAAAGATAAGGAGTTTATGAGACAGAGCTTCAGTTTCTGATGAAGTCGAGTGTCCTGCCCAGGAGAATTCCATCTGAACAAGCTGCGGGGATTCAAGCAGGTATTACTGAGTTCCCTGTGGGACATTATTAAAAGGAGCTACTCTCGAGTTAGACACATATCTAGTATAATTTTTCTCACAATAAGAAGTTAGTTGTCAAGAGCTATTAATTAATTTGATTATATGTAGAACAGATACTCAAACATATTCCTTATAAATAACTTTGGTGACATGTATTCATGAAAAGCTAACGAGTCTTCACAAGACGTGTAATTCTGCATCCATTCTTTGGTTTGCTATTGCTATGGAACAGGTCTTTAGAAAAACTCTTTAGAAATGGCATTTCTGAATTTAAAACTTTTATTCATATCTTTGATTAGGGAGTCGTAATGATGCTTGTTGAAAGAGTGAACATAGCATTAGATGACAGATTCAGGAACTCTTACATTTTAATGATAGACCAAATACCTAAGAAAACAGTAGGATTTAAAGTAAAATTTTCTTCAAGGTAAGAAATCACATAACTTCAAATGTTCATGATGAGGAGAAAATTCTGAAATTATAGCATTCAAGCAAAGAATTTGGGCGTTTGGGGTAAGAAAAGGCTCAGGTATGTGAGGAGATTGCTCTGGTGCTTATTTGGTCCAAGACTTGTTGACAATGTCCATCTCATCCTCTGTTTGCCTGGGTACCCCATGGCCAGAATCATACTGATATATACCTGTGCTGAAGGACCTGGTAACCATGATCTTTGAGGCATATTTGGAACATGTTTGATCAATAGTTTGGCCAGGAGATAAGTTAGGAAGGAATTAATAGCTATTTTCAAATATTTAAAATGCTATCAGGTGAAAGATGGAATAAACCGGTTGTGCTAAATTGTTTTCCATTTCAATACAAGCCTGACGGATGGGTAGAGTCAACCTGAAGACTGTGCTGTGCTGACTTCTACAGGTCTTAATCAGTAATCTGTGAGTGGGAAAAAAAAGAAACAAAAATCAAATTAATTAAGGACATCTACCAAAGGCAAGGACTACGGTTGATG